AGGCACCAATTAAGTGTCTTGTTCTTAGAGAACTTAGAGGCAGGACACCTGTAAGAGCTTCCCTGTCCATCTCTCCATCCTCTCGTCTAGTGATCTCTTCCTTGCTCTGTGACCCACAGGTCTTCATCCCCTTGAATGAGCCAAGCCCCCTCTCTCAGGCCTCAAGACTGCCACTGATATGGTCCCCCTGCCTCTAATGCCTCACCTCATCTCATCCCATCCCCCACCCCACCCCTGGTCCATACCTCCTTGGCCTGGTTGAATTTAGACTTCCTTCGGCTTTCAGATCAGACTTTTATGAAAAGCCTACCACCATCATCATCTAAAACAGTGCCTCAATCTCTCTTTCTTATAGACCATCATTTTTAATTAGAGCACTTAGAGCGATTATAATAAGGTACTTAATTTTGTCTAATTGTCCATTTCTCCATTTTTGCTCTACTGCTTGGTGTGGAGCATTGCATGCTTATGATTTTTAAATAAAGAGGAGGATCATCTTGGAAACACCAGATTTTAGTTAAGGAAATTAGGGATTAATTGACTGCCTTTTAATTGAAATATACTTGTCAAATAATATTATGCTAGTTTCTAGTGTATAGCATAGTGAAATTGACAGTCAAATACATTACAAAATGGTCACTATAAGAAGTCTAGTAACCAATATAACTATACAAAATTACTACTGTATTATTGGCTATATTCTTTATGCTGTATACCTCATCTACGTCTGTGTTTTACACCTGGACGTTTATACTTCTCAGTTCCCTTCATCCGTTTCGCCGGTTTCATGTTCCATACCCTCTGGCAACCAGCAGATTGTCCTCTGTGTCTGAAAGTCTTTTTCTATTTTGTTTATTTGTTCATTTACTTTTTTTAAAGATCCAACATATAAACATATAAGTTAGATCACAGGGTATTTGTCTTTCTCTGACTTTTTTTATTTAGCATAAAAACCTTTAGGTGGATCCATGTTGTTTTGTCACAAATGGCAAGATTTAATTTTTATGGCTAAGTAATACTCCTCATGTGTGTGTGTATCACAAAATTAAGTATCATATTATAATTACTCTAAGTGCTCTACTTAAAAATGATGATTCTATAAGAAAGAGATCGAGGCACCATTTTAAATGATGATGGTGGTAGGGTGTATATATACATCTTAATCTATTGATGAACATTTAGGTTGCTTCCATATCTTGGTTATTGTAAATAATGCTGTGGTGAATATAGTAGTGTATTTATCTTTTATGAATTTGTGTTTTTGTTAACTTTAGGTAAGTATCCTGAACTGGAATTGCTAGATCCTATGGTAGTTCTATTTTTTATTTTTATTTTTGAGGAACCTCCATACTGTTTTCAACAGTGACTACACTAATTTATATTTCCACCAACAGTGTATGAAGATTCCCTTTTCTTCACATCCTCACTATCACTTGTTATCTCTTGTCTTGTTGATTGATAATAGCCATTCTAAAAAGGTGAGATATTTTGTGGGTTTGATTTGCATTTCCTTGATGTTTAATGATATTGAGTACCTTTTCATGTGTCTATTGGCCATTTGCATGTCTTCTTTGGAGAAATATTTTCCAGGTCCTCTGCTCATTATTTAATCAGATTGTTTTTCTTTAATATTGGGTTACATGATTTCTTTATATAATTTGGATATCAGACACTTATTGGAGAAATTACTTGATTTTATTTAACATTTACAATGATACAGTAGGAAGCTTTAGTAAAGGGCAGGAAAGACTGGAGAAAGTTTGGGAAGGGGAAGGACTGAGTCATATTCAGGCTAGTTCAAAATAAACCAGTCAGATAGCAGAGTTTTTGTAATTTACAGTTCATGTAATTTACAATTAACATATAGGCATATAGGAGTTGGGATTTAAAGTGGAAAGATAGCAGAAATAGTGACTGGATTGTACCAGAAAAAAAAAGAAAAACTAGAATGTGATCAAGGCACTAGAAAAAGGAAGTTTGTTGTTTCCAGGTTTCAGTTGCATTATCACAGGGTTACAGCTTGTATAAACCCTTGACATATGTTTTTGGAAAAGTATGTACTGATATATAACATGGGGTCAAAGTCGTCTCAAATTTGCTGTTCAAGCTGGGCAGGACAGGTCTTCAGGATCTGGAATTTCCAGAGGTATTTGCAGTTGTGTGACTTGATTGTTGTTGACCTGATAGCTAACTTTTCTTCTTCTCATTCCTGGAGCTGAGCCCTGAGGCTGGATGCTGGATCACATGCTCCCCCTCAGGCTGTGTACATTGTGAAGACTCTGATTTTTAACTTCGTTATCATGAGGGCTCTTAAGCTCATAGCTTTACTTCCTAGCTTTCTGCCTCATTGGACACTCAGGATTTTAGAAACTATCCACCATCCTGGGCTGACCAACCACTTCTAAAGTTCTACCCAAAAACACAGCGGTGAGGAAGGGATCAAGCCCAAAGGGTTTAAGTGGCCAGATATAGCTAGACTAGATGAATAAAGGGGAAAATTCCAAGTGTATGACTATATAGGTACAGAGTGTTTTGTTTCAACAGTCACATTTGACTTTCAAATTTGTAGACAATGTATTAATACAAGGTCTTCTTTTTCAGATCTCTTTAGATCATGGACAGCCAAAGTAAGTCATTTGCTTTGTTTATGTCCCACGCTATAATATTAATTTTGTTGTTAAGAGGTTATCTGTCATAAAGTTTTATTAAGTTCTGGAAATGATACAATTTGTTTTGTGTTATCTTTCAGAATTCAATGTGTAGTTTAGTATCTGTACTATAGAGAAGATGTAGAGAAATATCCAATACCACCTGTTTTCCCTTCACAAAATAAAAAGATATTTTAGAGAAACTTAAGAAATTCTATTGGAGGAGAGGAGAGTGAAAAAGCTGGCTGAAAACTCAACATTCAAAAAAAAATTAAAATCATGGCACACAGTCCCATCACTTCATGGCAAATAGAAGGGGAAAAAATGAAACAGTGACAGATTTCATTTTCTTGGGCTCCAAAATCACTGTGATTGTGACTACAGCCAGGAAATTAAAAAACACTTACTCCTTGGAAGGAAAGTTATGACAAACCAAGACAGTGTATTAAAAAACAGAGACATCACTTTGCCAACAAAGGTCCATACAGTCAAAGCTATGGTTTTTCCAGTAGTTGTGTATGAATGTGAGAGTTGGGCTATAAAGAAAGCTGAGCACAGTAGAATTCATGCTTTTGAACTGTGGTGTTTGTTGGAGAAGACTCTTAAGAGTCCCTTGGGCTGCAAGGAGGTCCAAGCAGTCAATCCTAAAGGAAATCAGTCGTCAATATTCATTGGAAGGACTGATGTTGAAGGTGAAACTCCAATACTTTGGCCACCTGATGCAAAGAACTGACTCATTTGAAAAGACCCAGATGCTGAGAAAGATTGAAGGCAGAAGGAGAAGGGGACGATAGAGGGTGAGATGGTTGGATGGCATCACCAACTCGATGGACATGAGTTTGAGCAAGCTCCAGGAGTTGGTGATAGACAGGGAAGTCTGGCGTGGCATGCTGCAGTCTCTGGGGTCGCACAGAGTTGGACATGACTGAGTGACTGAACTGACTGACTGACTGATCATGGGGCAAGATCCTATTCATATATTGTGGTTTGGTAATATTTTGTTCAGGATATTGCCTTTGTATTGAAAATTTATTGACCTGTAATTTTCTTTTTTTTATAGTGTCGCTAATATAATGGTGATTTCCTTGTATATAACTCTTTGTTTTTCTCTTGCTGTCTTTAGAATTCCTTTTTTATATTTAATTTTTGACATTTTAATTTGATATGTCTTTGTGTGGGTCATCTTGTTAGGGACCCTCTTTGCTTCCTATACCTGGATATCTGTTTCCCTCTTTAGATTTGGGAAGTTTCAGCTATAATTTCTTCAAATACATTTTTTGCACCTGTTTCTCTCTTCTCCTTCTGCAACCCCTGTAATGCAAATGTTGGCACATTTAATGTTACCCTAGCCATTTTGTATGTTGCTGTCATTTTTTTTTTCTTTCTGTCTGTTATGCTGTCTTCCAGATTATGTATGCATTCTTCTGTTTCATTTATTCTGCTACTTATTGAATCTAGGGTGCTTGTTTTTTTTTTTTTTATTTCATATACTGGATTGTTTAGTATTGATTGGGTTTTTTTTATACTTTCTAAATCCTAGTTAAGATGATCTGTATTTAGATCAATTCTCTCCCTTAACTTAATCAACATTTTATTACCAACGTTCTGGATTTTTATCTGGTAAATTATGTACTTCTATTTTATTTATTTTTCAGAGGTATTTCCTGCTCTTTCAATTGAGAATAGTTACTCTGCCTTTTCAGGTTTCTTAACTTTCTCTGCCTTTATTAATTTAGGTGAAACAATTACCTGCTGTCGTCTTGAAAGGGTGTTCTTTTATAAAAGCATCCCTCTACCGATGTGAGGGCTGGATGTGATGAACATCGATCACGCTTCCGCAGTGTGTACTGACACCTGTCACCTTGGTAGGGGGTGTGACCGGGGATGGAGGAGCTAGAGCTGGAGCAGGCTGAGGCAGAGCTTCCTCTCTGCTCCGGACCATCACCACCCTTTTCAGCAGTGGGGTTTGCTCTCGTGCTGCTGGAGCAGAAGTCCTGCAGGTCGAGCTTCCAGCTGGCTCTGTTCTCTTTGTGTGCTTTTTCTTTTCCTCGCACCCGGCTCGTTGCCCCAAAGGTGGGGAGGGGGGAACCAAGTGGAACTCAGTGCTTACAGAGGTCCAGTGCTCTGCTTATTTAGGCCCCTGTGGCTCTGCTCAGATTCGGCCAGGAGTGGTTTTCCCCTGGCTGTGCCCTTCCCCCACTCAGATCTAGAGCTGCACCGCCACATGGAGTGGGCTGGGCTGCACTGTCTCCTCAGCTGAGGCTGAGACACGCAACATAAAGGTCATCGGAATTCCAGCTGCCTTCAGAAGTCTGGGCTGCTTCCAGGGCACCACTTGAGTAAGCACCCACAATGGCCACTAACATCCCACCTGAGCTATGCACTGGGCACCCAGGCAGTCTCTGTCCCTAGGTCAAGCATTCAGCCTGGTCCTGGCCACCCTAGAGCTAAAGCAGAGCTGTGGTATGGTACAGTGTGGTTTGAGTAGGGCTGTGGTTGGTATTCACTTGCTTGGAGAGTGTGGTGAGGTAGCAATCACTAGGGCAGACCCCTTTTCACCCTTCCTGGGGGCGACCTAACACCCCTCATGGATGGAGTCTGAGATTCTCTACCCTTTTAACCTAGAAAGCATTTTTCCAAGCAACCACAGAGGCATGCCTCCCCCACACAGGACACCAGGACTAGGACATCCAGTCTATTGTTCAACCTGCTCACTTACCAGGGCAAGTATCCACCCATGTGATCTCTTTTTCTCTGAGTCCCGTCCCAGGGGCACAGGTACTGACACAATCACTTGTCTGCACATTATACCCGATTGCATGTGTATCTCTGATACATCCTTGGTTGCAGGAGTTGTTCTGCCAGTTTCCAGTTAGTTTTCCATGAGAACTCTTCCACCCATCCATGTATTAACATGTTTGTGTTGGGAAGTAAGCTGCATGTCCTTTTACTCTACCATTGGTTTCCCACTGAAAAAGTCTTTTAAGCCTTACTTTTTACAATGTTTTGTCATCAGTGTTCCACTTAAACATATTTATAAATGGCCTATTCTTAGTATTAAGCTTTGCGTAGCCTTTGTAATTAAAATATTTTGGGACACAGTCTTTTCAAATTATATTACATTTTTATGGAATTGCTTTTCTATGTACATATAAGCTTATAAAGTTTCACTGCTTACAAATTTTCATGGATTATAAGAATAAATGCTTACTAAATTCTTCCCATACTGTGTTTATTAAATATTTAAGATAATTTTGCCTCTGATACTTTTTACCTCCTTTTGTTCTCAAATCATATTTTCCAGAGAGCTAAGGTATGACATTTTAAAATTTAATTTGTAACTTCAGGATCAGTCAACTTTTTTTTTTTTTTTTTGATGAAAGGGTTTTAGGAAAGGGATAAACCATGGATTAAAGCCCCAGGCAAATGGTTAACCCAGGGAAGTATTTGGACAGTATACTAGATGGAATGATATGCCTTCACCTGTATACCAGATTCTCAGTAAGAACATTATAATGTTTGGGAATGGATAATTCTTTATTTCAGCATGCTGTTCTGACCACTTTAGGATATTTAACAGCATTCCTGGCCTCTATCAACTGTATCCCAGGATCACTCTCTTCTGCAGCTGAAGCAATAAAAACATCTCTAGACCTGGACAAGTATTCCTTGGAGGGGCAAAACCACTGCCAGTTCTATACATATAAGAACTTCCATTTGTCAGAATTCCAGAATTGTCATTTTTTGTAGAGTGATTTGGTTCTAGAAATTCTGGCTTAACACCTCTATTTTGGGCCTTCTACCCAATGCCACATCTCATTTCCATGAAGGCATTCCAGAATATGTATGTTACGTTGTTGATCTGTTTTCACTTCCTTAGGTTTCAACCATATTTTCATATGAATTCTGAAGAGTAAGTGTAAGGATGTGGAACAACTCTATATACAGGCCAAAACCCACAAATAGAAATGGATATGAAACAACAGATATTTTACTGAAAAATTGTTGAACTATAAAAACACAAACTGTAAGCTTCATAGAAACAGGATTTCTGAGTAGAAATTTTTAGTTTGTAGATAACTAAAAGAATTGAAATCTTAACTTTTCTATGCAGTTACAAATAATTACACTTGTTCATATTTCAGCATCTCCAGAACATTCTGGCTGTCCCACCCTGCAGGCTGGCAACAGTGAAACCCATGCTGAAAATCATGTCCAGGATAGCAATCCTGAAACCCAAGCTGAATATCCCAGTCCTCAGCCTGCATACTCTGAAACACAGATTGACTATCTAGTCGTCCAAGCTGGAAAAACAGGATGTGGCCTAGTTGACATTCCGGTCCAATACCAGCAAGTGTCTCTTCAGCCAAATATACCTGCAAAACCACTATATATTATAAAACTAATACCTTCACCAGACTGTCCACCAGGGTTACAATATTTAAGTCAGGTAATTTCAAATACATAAAAGACTCTTAACAAGTAAAATTGTACTCCCAGTTTACTTAATGACATTAGCAAATAACTAATTCACTAAAGTCTGAAATGGTAAAACAACATTTCTTGCTAACAAACTAATTCTTCTAAGCAAGGTTTACTAATAAAGCGAAATACCAATGTCTTAGGAAATTGTATTTTTCTATGATCTTGAATATAATTTGTAATTAAGAGTCAACAGCAAACCTTTACTAAACACTATTTCCCAGGCTTTGTTCCTAAATGTACTACATATAATAACATATTTAATCTGTTAGAAGCTCTATGATAGTGGGTTGCCATTTCCTCTTCCAGGGGATCTTCCCAGCCCAGGGATCAAACCCATATCTCCTGGGTCTCCTGTTTTGGCAGGTGGATTCTTTACCACTTGAATAACCTGGGAAGCCTATGATATACAGGTGCTAGAATTGTCACCATTTTCTCAAAGAGGAAACTGAGGCCTAGAGAAAGTTAAACAATTTGCTCAGCATCAAAATGCACAGGAAGTAGAAATGGTTTTATATGGCTGGAACCTTGGTTTTGGATTCTATGCCCTTTAATCCCAACACTAAATAATTTCTTAGCAGTTAAAAACAAATATAAAACAAACTTTAGTGTTCAATTCAACAATTTTTGTATGACTTACCTTTTTATTGTAATTAATAAAATTACATTTTATGTTGTTTTTATTCTTTTGAAGAGCCAAGTTTATAAATGCAACCATAAAGTGGGGAAAAGTAATAGATTATAATGTTTGATAACTTATCTCAGCAAAATAAGGTTTTACATTTGTTTGATGTTAGAAATCTCACAGGTAAAGTAGAAAAGGAAGTTCTGTGTGCCCAAACTATATAAAACTAAATATTCCTGTGTCATTCAAACATTTTTCAAAAAATGAGTTGTGTCTCTTACACTCTCTGAACTAATTTTATATACCAAAATGTATTTGAGCATAATATAAGAATTTTATTAGTTCATATATTCTCCAAGAAATAGATTTTTTAAAATCAAGGATTCACAAAATATGTAGAAGTTATCACCTTCTAGAAATGATGATCTCATTTACACCAAAAAAGAAAATTGAGATTTATAGTAAAAAAAAATCTCTTTATATGCATAAAATGGTCTTAATATTTCCTAAAGCTCTTCTAGAAAGATCAGTGTTCTCATTTTTAAGGTGTTTTTTTTTTTTTTTTTTTTTTAGTGTGGTGGTTTAGTAGCTAAATTCTGTTCAACTCTTGTGACCCCATGGACTGTAGCCAGCCAGGCTCCTCTGTCCATGGAATTTTCCAGTCAAGAATACTGGAGTGGATTGCCATTTCCTTCTCCAAGGGATCTTCCCAACCCAGGAATCGAACCTAGATCTCCTGCACTGCAGGCAGATTCTTTACCAACTAAGCTATGAGGGAAGCCCCCTTTTTTTTAGTTTAAGTCATTTTATTTCACTTGAATCTGCCCACATTAGTACTGAACACATTCAATAGGTATCTTGTCACTTATAAATATATATGTATATAATTTATATTACGTTTTAGTTTTACACTAACAAGTATGTAAACTATCATTAAATATTGACAGTATTGACAAATATTGATAATTATATGCATTTTAAAAAATATAAAAACATAATTTGGTTGGCTTAAAAATCATCTGACATATGCTTACAGCTTAAATTTTTGTTTACTATAATAGGTAAATCAAATCCTGATTCATCAGCAAATTGAACTTACAGAAGGTATGTATTCCTTGTATTGATTATATTTCTAGAAAGAGGAGATATTTATGCAGATTAAGGCATGTCATCAACCACAAATACAACACTTTTAGTGATGTTGGGCCATTAAACTGGTTATTTACAAAAGTCTCTCTTTGTTGTAATGAATTGGATACAGCAACTCATTTCTTGAAATTAGTGGGAGTCAACTGGCAAAATACTATTCATCTGGACATCTGTCATGATAAAGACTCTAACTTAGAAGGAAAACAACCAAAACATACTTTTGTTCCCTCCCCTCTCTAGACATCTTTTCGGGGAATCTGTCACTTTATCTGTGCTTCGCCGTTGGCTCAGCCAGTCAAGAATCCACTTGCAACGCAGGAGCCCTGGCTTCTATCCTTGGGTTGGAAAGAGCCCCCGGAGGAGGGCATGGAAACCCGTTCTAGTATTCTCGCTTGGAGAATCCCCATGGACAGAGGGGCCTGGTGGGCTACAGTCTATGGGGTCACAAAGAGTCAGACACGACTTCACCTGACTTCTATAACTTCACCTATTTTCTCCCCAGGTTATGACAACCTTGACGTTGGCACAGAGCTACTGGCAGTAGTTCATGTTAACTTATTATCACATACGAACAGTGGTTGTTTAGTCACTAAGTCGTGTCTGACTCTTTTGCAGCCCCGTGGACTGTAGCCTTCCAGGCTCCTCTGTCCATGGGCTTACCAGGCAAGAGTGCTGGAGTGGGTTGCCATTTCCTTCTCCAGGGGATCTTCCTGACCCAGGGATCGACCCTATGTCTCCTGCATTGTGGGCAGATTCTTTACCACATAGCCACCAGGGAAGCCATACTAAGCTACCTTACTACATTTCCAAATAGATGGAACTTTTTGAATTTGGATGTGGATGTTTTAGATAATTGTATTCCTGTTCAGTCTCTCTTGGGAGTTCAGATGAACCCTAGAAGACCTGCATCCCACGGGCTCTGTCCCATGGGCTGTGAATTACCAACTCGGATGAGGGAACACTGCAATGCTGCAGAGTGCTGACCAGCCGGCCAGCAGCCTGGCCCCTAGAAGAGCACTCCTGCTTGTGCTAAATGATGCCTTTGACTCTGCATGTTTCTAGTGCTTTCCATGTGCAAGAATAAATTCAGGATCTAGTGAGATACTACACAACTGCTGCCAGAAAAAAGAGAACCTATGTAGACTGAACCAGTGTCTTCCTTCCAGATATAAGGAGTTTAGTGAAAACTGTTGGTTATAGAATACATCTGTAAATCCATCTTTATTGGTGGACAGTTCCTTTCCAGTAGTAGATTTAGACACCAAATTTTAATAGCAGAGTAAGGATTTGGTTAAAATATGCAACTATCACCTACTAATGGGGTCACACAGAGTTGGACACAACTGAAGTGACACAGCAGCAGCAGCATATTTAAACTACCTATAATGGGACAGTTAAAGATAGTGTCAGAGCAGGCTCCTAAAATCATCTCTTCCTATGAGCACAATGCATCTACGCTACCCACAGAAAACTTCCTTCTGAAAGAAACCCAGAAACTAGCTGAACGGCTACACATTGGGCAAATGAAAAATAAGTAAGATAAAATAAAATACTGACTGACCTCACCCTGTGTAACAGGCTCTAGGCTCACCCAAGGAGACGCAGATATAAAGAACAGACATGGTCACAGTGTGAGAGGAAGGGGTGGATGACGAGAGGGTAGCATTAAACATATTCATTACCATATGTAAAATATGGTATATATGGTGAGAATTTGCTGTGTGATGCAGGAAACCTAAAGCCATTGCTCTGTGATTACCTAGATGGGTGGGCAGGGGAGGGAGGTGGGAGGGAGGTTTAAGAGGGAGGGGACATATGTAAACCTATGGCTGATTCATGCTCATGTATGGCAGAAGGCATTACAATATTGTAAAGTAATTATTTTCCGATTAAAAACAATAAATTTAAAAAAATACTGAAATGGTTAGGAAAGTCTATGACATAGCCATGCCACAAACCCCTCTCCTAGCAGAAGAACACAGACCAAGAGGGAGCTCACACCTCTCAGCTTCTCCCCGAGGGGTGAAGAGTTTGACCTAATGGCTGGTGCCCCAATTTTTAAGATTCCTGTCAGACAGATGGGTCCACCAAAACCTCTAACTTGGAAAACCACTGGGACTTATATCCATGGGATCCAAAAGGCTACAAACAGCTCAGAGACAGTTTGTAGGGGCTCATTTGACTCACCATATCTAATCCCTTAAGGCCCAACACATAGGCATCAGACTGACACAAGCCCATTTTTCTGTGAAAGTATTCTTTTTGCTTAAATAAAACAAACACTTTTTAAAAATTTTATTTTTTGGTGCAGGTTCTAATTTAACATACATAAAGGTACTTACCACTACCTCCAGAGACCATGGAGGCCAACAGAAACCTACTTACATGTTGTCACAAGAAACTCACTTCAGCTTTGAGAACACACCCAAGTGAAAGTCAAGGGAGGGAAAAAGTGTCCCAAGAAAATTTAAGCCAAAGAAAGTTGGAGTAGCTATACTAATATCAGAAAAAACATGAGGGTTTCCCTGGTGGCTAAAAGAGTAAAAAATCCACCTGTGTTGGGAAGATCCCCTGGAGAAGGAAATGGCAATCCACTCCAGTATTCTTGCCTGAAGAATTCTGTGCACAGAGGAGCCTGGTGGGTTACAGTCCATGGGACTGCAAAGAGTTAGACACAACTGGGAGACTAACACTTTCACTTTCATATCAGACAAAATAGCTTTCAGTCAAGGACCAAAATAAGAGGCAAAAAAGATCACTAAATAGTTACAATCCACCAAGAGGATATAAATTTGTAAATATTGGTGTACTATTTTAAGTATCTGTATATATAAAAGCAAATATTAACAAACCTGAAGAGAAAAATAGATAAACATAAAATGATGCTAGGGGACTTTACTACCTCGCTTTAATCAACAGATACATCATCCAGACAAAAATCAATAAGGAAATTTTGGACTTACACAATACCTTTTAACCAGGTGGACTTAAAAGACATTTACAGAACATTCCATCCAAAAGAAGCAGAATACATATTTTTCTTAAGTGCAAAAGGAACATTTTCAGGATACATCATATATTAAGTCACAGAACAAGCCTTAATACATCTAAGAAAACTGAAATCATATGAAGCATTTTGTTTTCAAAAATAGTCTGAAAGCAGAAACCAAGTACAAGAAGAAAACTAGAAATTTCACAAATGTGTGGAAAATTGAACAACCAAAGGATCAGAGAATAAGCAGAACATAACTCACGAAAATATCTTGAGACAAATGAAAGTGGAAATGCAGCATACCAAAATGATGGGATTCAGGAAAAGCAGTAATAAGAGGGCAGTTCATGTCAATAAATGCAACGTTAAAAGATAAGAAAGATCACAAATAAACACCTGACTTTATATATCAGAAAAAGAACAAACTAAGCCAAAAACTAGTAGAGGGAAAAAAAATAAGAAAGAACAATAGAAGTAAGAGAATGTTTGTTGAAAACACAAAATAGGCAAACATTTAGTTTGATATACCAAAAAAAAAAAAAAAGGTGATTCAAACGAAAACTGAGAGAAAAGATGTTACAACTGACACCAAAGAAATGAAAAGCATTATAAGAGACAACCATGAACAAGTACATCCCAACAAACTGGACTGCCTAAATAGATAAATTCCAAGAAACATATGACAAGCCAAGACTGAACACAAAGAAGTAGCACATTTACGAAGACCAGTCACTAATAAGGACATGGAGTGTGTGTTTGCAAACCTCTCAGTAAACCAAGTCCAGGACTGCATGGCTTTAATAGTGATTAACACGGACATTTAAAGATGAATCCATATTTATGCTTCTCAGAAAGATGTCATCAGTCTGCTTGTGGTTTAAGGTGTGAGTGTGTCCCCCACATGTCATTGTGTATATTTATTTTCTCTGTAGCAATTTAGTTTATTAAAAGAAAGAGCCTCTATTATGCTGCTTGGGAATGATAAACCTGACTTTTGGCACTGTCGTGCAGAGTGAGGGAGTCCTCTACCCCAGGATGAACCCAGGCCAGCGTCTCTCTATGAGGAGAGGCCCTGCAGGCTGGCATTTAGACTCACAAGCTTACCACACGTCTCAACCCATACTCTGGTCCTCGGGCTTGCCTAGATGTTGGCCAAGTCCACTTCCAGCTTTGTGGATGAGGCTTCTCAGCAGATACTGGCCTATGGTTCTATTGGTAATGATGTGGTCCTCTCTCTCAGAAGTTCACAGACTATACCAGCAAGGAAGAAGCAAACATTACCACAGTAACACAATGTGATGATGTTAGATTTTAGCATGTTTAGGCATAGTCAAAGGTTGATGCCTGCCACCACAGAACGAAATAAAGGGAAAATTACTCTGCATCCATTCTTATATAAACTAGCAATACTGGATGACTTTTATTCAGTACAATGTTGGCATTAATTCCTTTAGAAATCAGCTGACATTCCTCCAAACACATTAATTTTTAAAAAGATAACTTTTAAAAATATGTTTGAATTCATTTCAAAATTTTATACATATTTTTTCTTCCATATTCAATGTAAATTGAAAACTATACTTATTTCACTGCCCATTTTTAGACTTGTATTACATATCTTACTTTTGTTTAATGAGGAGAGTTAGGCTAGATTTTTTTTTTTAAGAGGACAGTCTCTAGGGAGGAGGCAAAATGGCAGAGTAGAAGAATCTAGACCTCACCCCCTCGCACAAATACACCAGTCACAACAATATTGGAATCTGGGGAGTGTCAGAATCAAGATGTGGAGGAGGAAAAAGCAGAGACCACCTCCCTTCACTGAAACATTGAAAATACATCCACAAGTGGAGCAATTCATACAGAACAACTCCTGAGTGCTGACAGAAGACCTATGATGCCCCAAAAGACAAGAAAAGCACCATGTAAACAGGTAGGACAGAGAGAAAAAGAAAAATAAGGAATG